CCGTCATTGTTGTTTGGCGGGTCCAGGCTGGATTCGAACCTGCCACCTTAGGTGTATGTGGCTGGCGCCTTAGCCACTTGAGCCACAGGCGCCAAGCCTACAAACACATTTTTTAAAAGCCTGCCTTGAAGGGAGGAGGGGAGCAGTTTGTATGTTAAAAAGTGCTTTCGGCTCGGCGCCTGTGGCTCAAGTGGCTAAGGTGCCAGCCACATACACCTAAGGTGGCGGGTTCGAATCCAGACCGGGCCCGCCAAACAACAATGATGGCTGCAACCAAAAAAAAATAGCCAGGCATTGTGGTGGGTGACTGTTGTCCCAGCTACTTGGGAGGCAGAGGAAGGAGACTCGCCTGAACCCAGGAGTTGGAGGTGTGATGCCACGGCACTCTACCCAGGGGGACAGCTTGAGGCTCTGTCTCAAAAAAAAAAAAAAAAAAGTGCTTTCTGAGTTTCTACTAGATAATTTCAATGACTTAAAACATCTCTTCTCAGCTGATTCAGATTATACACAAAGGGCAGCATAAAAGGGAGACAATACAAGTAGTGTGCTGTCCCCTCTCCCAGCCTAGGACAGAACCCAAGGTTGCTCACCCCTTCTCATTCTACCTTCTAACAGTCACAAAAACCTATGTAAACAAACCCATGACAACACAGGAACAACTGAAAGGCTATCCATTCAGGCTAATATATTTGACCCATGTCAACTGAACTTCTGAATCTATGGCAACAACACTTCCTCCCTCCTCATTAGATAACCTCCATCCCCACCCCCACAATACTCTGTGTAATCACTGCCATCTACAGCTTCCTGTGCCTGAACTGTAAAACATTAGGCAAAGATACCCAAGGGCAAGGTCTGGAGAAGATGGTGCCAATGCACACTTTTGTGGGGACACCTATCCATATGCCAGCGCTAGGTCCTCATTCCTAAAACATCCTCAGGAGTACCTAATGAAAGCCCTGCTGCAATGTCTCACCTCCCTCCTCCTCACTCTCACGGGCACTCCCCTTGCCTAGCCCAATGACTGCCCCAGACTCTGTCTCCCTGCCTCTGTGCTAGACTTTTGGGACCTCAAATGATTCACAACCATCTCAGAATTCCAGTCCTGATACAAGCAATTATTACTAGCCACAAATGTCCTTTAAGGAGGTAGGGGAGCTCACAATTAGGGAAAAAAAGACATTACTTGCTGAAATTTACAATATATTTTTGGCCTTTCAACAAGGTCAGGATATTACTGCTAGAGGAATGACAACTAGGGCTCCCTTTTTAAAGGGGCTTACAAGGTGATAGATTTACCATTGTCCAAATCCAGCTTTTAGGCTAAGCAGCTAGATTTCACTAAAGAACAGACCCATCCAGGGCAGAATCACATTAACCAAACTTAGAAGGCTGACCTATGAAACCACAATGCCAAGAAACCATTATCACAGGAACCAAACCACTCTTCTCAACACAGGTGGGCCCATAATAATGATCTGCCAAATGGCCACAATGATCAGGCTAATAAATAAATGATCTGCAAAAACATTACTTGGTGAGCATGCAATCTGGTCAAAAGGGCTTATAAACTCTTAATGGCTTCAGGCTCACCTAACCTAATGAACCCATCTCATAACAAATGGTCTTGCCCACTCTACCAGAGCAATGCACAGCGACCCTGTCCAATAAAAGGCACAAAGCCCTCTCTCCTGGACAAAGACTAAATGACTAAAAAACCATCACCTGAACAACACATTCTTTCTTCAGGTGTATTATATATCCAATCAGATTACCAGCCAGGGAGCTATCTCTTTTCTTTCAGGAGACCACAAATTTTTATTGTACTTTACTATGTATTCTACTTTGATCTACAACTAGCTCTCATGAAAGTAATTACAATTGTTCTCATTTCTAAAGTCTAGAGAGCACTTTCATTCAGTAAGTAATTTACTGAGCACTTACTATATATGTCAGGCTAGTCTAGCTAGGGGATCTTCTATAATACAACAAAACAAAATTCCTGTTCTAAAGTGCATATTCTTCTTGTAATCCCTAAATACTGACAATAAAATTCACAATAAGTACTCAAAAATGACATAAAGGCCAAGGACAGTGGCTCTTGCCTATAATCCTAGCACTCTGGGAGGCCAAAGCAGGAGGATCTCTTTTTTTTTTTTTTTTGAGACAGCCTCAAGCTGTCCCCCTGGGTAGAGTGCCATGGCATCACAGCTCACAGCAACCTCCAACTCCTGGGCTCAAGCGAGTCTCCTGCCTCAGCCTCCCAAGTAGCTGGGACCACAGGTGCCCACCACAAAGCCTGGCTTTTTTTTGTTGTTGCAGCCATCATTGTTGTTTGGCTGGCCTGGGCTGGATTCAAACCCGTTACCTTAGGTGTATATGGCTGGCGCCTTAGCCACTTGAGCCACAGGCACTGAGCCAGGAGGATCTCTTGAGCTCAGGAGTTCAATACCAGCCTGAGCAAAGGGAGACCCCCACCTCTACTAAAAATAGAAAAATTAGCTGGATGTTGTGGCAGGGGCCTTTAGTCTCAGGTACTTGGGAGGCTGAGGCAGGAAGATCATTTGAACCTGAGTTTGAGACTGCTAGGCGCTAGGCTGATGCCATAGCACTCTAGCCTAGGCACAGAGTGAGACTCAGTCTCAAAACCAAAAACAACCCAAAAAAACCGCTAAATGACAAAGATAGTAGGGTAATAAAATTATCTAGAGTAAGCCTTTAATAGTATTTGTAAACATTCAACTAAATAAAGGAGAAAAAGTACATTTTGATACTGACGTAATAGTATGTAATTTTTAAATGACTCTACTAATGTCAACAATAGGCAGTTTAACTGAGCCTCTCTGAGCCTCAATTGCATAATTTATAAAATAACTAAAAGAGACAATGTATTCACATAGCCTAGAAAATACCAAAAAAGTCAAATGAATTAAGTCAAAAGATTAAGCCATTAATTCACTAACACAGTCACTATTTCCAGTGACTGATACTTCAATGGGTGAATTTAACAGTTGAAAACAATCAAGAATTGATTGGATGCTGGGTAAAAAAAAAAAATATATATATATATACACACACACATACATATATAAAAACATTTTGAGACAATTGGAGAAATGTGAATATGAACTGTATGTTGGGAAAATGAATTAGTATTTGTTTTCTTAGGTGTAGTAATGGAGATGTAGGTTGAGAATATTGCTAGGTAGGAGAACCCTGCTGTTCTGGAAAGATGCATGTTGATATACTAAAGGACAAAGCACCATGATGTCTAAAACTGGTTGGCAGAGAAGAGTATTTATGTGTGAGAGATAGAGGTGTGGCAAAACATTAACAACTGGTAGACTGAAAGAGATATTGGGATTTGTTGTGCTCATTTTTCTAACTTTTTTCTACCTTTTGAGTTTGAAAATTTGCAAAACAAAAAACATGTGATCTTAAGACTCCATCAGGAAGAAAAAAATAGCAATATAATGTCAACATAATCTCTTAGTTGAAAATATGAAGCTTACAAAAAAAGTACAAAAACCATAGTCAAAAGGTCTTAATGTCCACAAAACCAAAAAGGTTTTTTCTCTAGATTCCATAGAAAATATAACTAAAATGAAACATATCCCACAAGGAAATGATCTAGTAAGTATACTCCTGGACTAAAATAGGAAAAGGACGCCAGCTCACCAATGTGAACAGTCATGAAGACTGTCATGCAGGGCTTTCCGAAGCACCGAGTCCTTGTCATAAATGCCCCAGGTAGCTTGTAGTACAGAATCAAGTAAGCAGTCTCCTGCAGTCCGGTTCCAAAGGGCATATAGTCGACTGTCCAATCGTGTAGCCAATTCCAGGGACCAATTAATAATTGGAGATTCTTCTTCTAATTCTGTATGAGGAATTCAAGTAATATGTTCATTTTCATGCTCATGTAATTAAAGAATACTCTATAGGGGGAACACTATTTTCTTCTAAATGTAAGAAGTTTATATGTAATTTACCAATAAATACCTAAATAAATTTGATCAACCAGAATAAAAACTTTGTGAGTAGCTGAAAAACCTTGTGGCTCTAGAATAATTTACTCAACTTTTATTTTTTTTTTATTATTATTTTTTTTTTTTGGAGACAAAGTCCCAAGCTGTCACTCTGTAGAGTGCTATTATGTCACAGCTCACAGCAACCTCAAACTCTAGGGCTTAAGCGATTCTCTTGCCACAGCCTCCCAAGTAGCTGGGACTAAAGATGCCCGCCACAATGCCCAGCTATTTTGGAGGGTGGGTGGGGAGGGTTGTAGTTGTCATTATTGTTTGGCAGGCCCAGGCTGGATCTGAACCTGCCAGCTCTGGTGTATGCGGCTGGCGTCCTAGCTATGAGCTACAGGCACAGAGCCAACTTTTAATTCTTTATAACTTTATTTTCTAAAAATGTTTAACACAGAAACATGCATTCTGGAATATGAAGTAGAAAACCAAAGTTTTAAAAATTCGTACCTTTCTTTCTTTGGTAGCTCTATCTGTAAGTATTTTTAACAGTACAACATGACACTGCTCTTTAGAGCTTTACATCTTTAACATAAAATAAAGGTGCCATACACCAAACTACTCCATATCTGATGAAATAAAGCAAAAGTTACTCAGTCAGATGAAAAGGTAAATTACACTCATCAATTCCATGCTTACCTTTTTGAACATCTCTATCAAGCACCTCATCAAATAATTTTTCTTGGACTGTTGGAGGTAAGTCTTCAATATCTACAAAGAGAAAAGGCAGACTTAAAAAATCTTTTGTTTCATAACTTAAAAAATTTAATACCAACATCTAATAGTAACTTACTCTAAAATAACTCCCTTTCCATTGAAGGTTGTCAGATAGTTTTGTGCATGTATAACATATGTTGTGATATAAAACATTTCCTTCCATACTTCATTACACAAACATTTATTTAACAATAAGTAACATTTGAACGAATAACCACAGACAAATTTTGATTTGTTCTCTTCTCACACTTGGCAACCTCTGCTCAGACTTGCTATTTTCAGACTTTAGAATCTCCTTATAGGCTCGGCGCCTGTGGCTCAAGTGGCTAAGGCGCCAGCCACATACACCTAAGATGGTGGGTTCAAATCCAGCCCGGGCCTACCAAAAACAACAATGATGGATACAACCCAAAAATAGCCTGGCGTTGTGGCAGGAGCCTGTGGTCCCAGCTACTTGGGAGGCTGAGGCAGGAGACTCACTTGAGCCCAGGAGTTGGAGGTTGCTGTGAGCTGTGATGCCACAGCACTCTACCCAGGGCGACAGCTTGAGGCACTGTCTCAAAAAAAAAAAAAAAAAAAAATCTCCTTATAAAAGTTAATGAACCTTCCACATAGTCAGTCTTTTTGCCATAGTCCTCAAATATTCTGTACTCTATTCAAGTTACTTAAATGGGTATCTTAGAATAAGAAGCATCTACCTTTAAAAATAATTTTTAAAAAGAAACCATTTTCAATTCAAAATAAAAACCTAATCACTTGGGGTAAGCTAAAATATATACAGAAATTTTGGTTATTATCTCCTATTTGTAAACACCCCTCTTAATGAACATAAAAGTTCAGAATACTCAGAACTCAGATAGAAGCTTTATTTTAGAAACTCCTGGTGTGTTTACCAGTGCCAACTAATGAAAACCATTTCAGAAGATGTCTTCAACTGTCATTGAATCAAAAACTAAAAAGTTCCTTCATTAATATAGTAGAAATAAATATAATGAGTAAAAAAGGAATGAAACATTCAAGAGAATGCCAGTATCTTTCCTTCAAATAACCTAACTGCACCCATCAAAAGCCTATTTTCTGGGGCAGCACCTGTGGTTCAGTGTGTAGGCTGCCAGCCCCATAAATCAAGGGTGGCAGGCTCAATCCCAGCCCCAGCCAAACTGCAACAAACAAATAGCTGGGCATTGTGGCAGGTGCCTATAGTCCCAGCTACTTGGGAGGCTGAGGCAAGAGAATCACGTAAGCCCAGGATTTGGAGGTTGCTATGAGCTGTGTGACGCCATGGCACTCTACCGAGGGCAACAAAGTGAGACTCTGTCTCTACAAAATAAAAGCCTATTTTCTATCCTGTCTCTTAATACCAGGTAACCAATCACTACCCAATTTCAAAAGAATGGAAAATAAAGAGATACTTTTTAAAGGAAACTTTCAAAAAGGATATTTCAAATTATACCAAAGAGACCCAGAAAAAAACTCCTGGCCAGACACGGTGGCTCACAACTGTGATCTCAGCACTTTGAGAGGCCAAGGCAAAAAGGACTGCTTAAGATCAGGAGTTCAAGACCAGCCTGCTCAAGACTCCTTGCCCCTACAAAAAGTAGAAAAATTAGCCAGGTGTGGTAGCAAAAGCATGTAGTCCCAGCTCCTTGAGCGGCTGAGATGTGAGGATCCCTTGAGCCCAGGAATTCAAGGCTGCACTGAGCTATGATGAGGCCACTGCCCTCCAGCCTGAGCAACAGAGCAAGACTCCATCTCGAATAAAAACAAAAAACAAAAAAAGAAAAAGAAATCAGTTATACTATCAGCTGCTGTACTCCTCCCAGATAACTAAAGGATTCATTTACATGTAGCCCTTATACTGGTCACTTCCAGACTAAATAGGGACAGTCAAGTAATTTAAGACACATATATATAATATAGCTAAGTTATGTGCTTCCTAACAAAAATACATTTTTTACCCACACAAAAAATGTAACTATAATAAAATAAAAATTCTTTTCACATTAAATTTTGTGGTTACCTGCTGGCAAGGTAAATGTTACAAGGTCAGTTAGAAAATAGCAAGCAAAATCCCCCTTTCTCTGGTGAAGAGACGCAGCTATTTCCCTCCGGATTTGTTCTGTCAGTTCAGGACACACCATTGCTGGAATACACTTTGCTGCTTGTTGAGACACCTTAAATTAAAAAAGAAATTTTCCTCTGTATCTCATTTATCATAAATGGAAATAGAAAACAACAGTATTTAAAATAAATAAGTAAAACTGCCAAATAACGCTATGTGTTTCTTTCCTAATCTTAAATTTTTATCTTTGGTATTATTTTCTTACCAGTAGAAAGTACTTATCAGTACAACTTTTCAGGAAAAAACAGCCATAAAAATATTTTACTCTCTGATTCATTAATTGTATCTCTTAAGAATTTACCCCAAGGAAATACTCTAAAATATATTATAAATGTATGTAAAAGGGTGTTCATTAAGGTACATCACAGGAGGGAAAGGGAGTGCAGAGAACTCAAACCTAAATGGACTAACCATCATCCACCCAATAAAACTATTCTTTAAAAATAGGGAATTCCAGCTGAGAAAAGAAAATTGCAAACACTCCTCTCTCACGTTTCAAGTCTCTTGCCTTGGAATATAGCAAGTATGATATTTAAAAGGTCAGCTCTCACTGAACTCAAATACTTTCTCCCTCCCAATCTGTTATCACTCTGAAACTCTTTAAAAGTATTTGGTATTTCCAAGTTTAAAGCTCTGAAGTCTAGCCTGAAAGGAGTGAGATGTGAGGGTGTTGTAGCGAGCATTACAGCAGAGGCCTCTAACCAAGAAAATGCAATAAGCCACTAAAGCCTAGAACTTTCTTCCCCTTTTTAAATGATGCAAAGATTTAAAACTTAGGTTTCATTCACATTCAGTTTGTGGAGCTCAAGAAATCTACATATAGAATTCTGAAATCAAAGCTGAGCATACTGAGTCATATTCAGTTTATAGAGCTCAAGAATCTACATACACAGAATTTTGAAAACGAAGTTGAGCATTTGCTAATAAGGGAGACAATATGGCGTGGTGAACCCCACATGAGCCAGTAATCTCTATTCTCTTGATATCACCAACCTGGATAACCTTCTAGAAAGTAGCCTTCCAGTTACACGTGGGGCTTGGAGCATGAAACCTTCCAATAAGCCACACAGAAAATAAGGTTTACTGATAATGGCACCTACATAATATATACGGACAACTTGGTTGCAACTGCAATAAAGTAATGAGTAAACAGTAATTCAAAAATCTTGCTTACCTAACATGGCCACCTGACTCCCTACACTGAAAGCTCCTACATGAAAATTCAGTTCTACTAGACTTTATCGGCCAGGATTACCAATAAACATGCAAATTCTCATAATATCTTAACTCTATGAGCCCAATCTTTAACCAACATTCAAACATGGAGGCAGGAAGACTGCTTGAACCCAGGAGTTAGAGGTTGCTAGGCTGAGACCATAGCACTCTAGCCCAGGTGACTTTCACAAGAAAAAAAAGGTATTTTCTAATTTATCATAAATTTGATTTAGTACTTTGCTAACCATATTTCATCGATACTAATTTCTTCCATAATACTATTTTTTTTACTTTATGCATTTAAAAATAATATTTTGAGAATGTTCCACCACACTACCAACAGGGTCCATGACACAGAACCCAACAAAAACCCCTGCCCCTAGATATATGTCCCCAAATCCAATGTTCTCTTATAATCATTCCAAAAGAACTTGGTTCTCTCTGTAGACACAAAGCTTTAGACCAGACTCCCTTCCTTTCCTAAATCTCTACTGCCCTTTTTCTACCCTACAGAGTACCTATTCTACTGAAACTAAATCCATTACCAATTTTCCTCTTTAGTAAAACAATCCCTCTCCATCTCCCCCACACTGTTCCAGGGTTGGTCTACATGTCCTACAGAGTACAATGAAAGTTAAGAGTACGTCACTTCCTATGTGTTTATACACGACACTGCAGGTTCCATCTGGATCACTCTCTCACACTCGTCCTCTTTTGGATCACTTGCTCTGGGTGAAACCAGCTACCACATCATGAGCAGCTCTGGAATTGAAGCCCCTGCCAACAGCCATAAAAGTGAGCTTGGGAATGGATCCTGTAGTCCCATTCCAGCCCTTTGATGACGATAGCCCTGGCCAGCTGGACTGCAACTGTGTGACAGCCTGAAGCAAAACCATTCATCTAAGCAGCTCCTAGATTCCTGACCATCACAAATTATGTGAAGTAAATATTTGTTGTCTTAAGCTGATAAATTTTTAGGCAATGTGTGATATGGCAATACATATAAGTGATGCTCTATAATCCCACTGTTAATCCTGAGATTACTCTGAGGCATTCTGGGACTTATGATAGCCTCTCCAGAATCTGTGGCAGAATCTTCAACCAGCCTGCCAGGGACCTATGAACCCCCAAAAGTCTTTAACCCTAGTTCACAGCAGTTTTCTATATCCTTTCGCTTGCCAAAGCAATGACCTCAACTCCACACTGACAGATGCCAACTGGGCACCACAACACAAACTCAGCCAGATCTTAGACACCTAGAAATTATTTCTAACTGTTCTTTCCCATGTTCTAGAACTCTGAGCTCTCTATCTGAAAAGTGCCCTTCTCCCTTATTCTCAGTAAACCTGTCCTTTGCTTGCAACAAGGCCTTCAGCCTCTCATACCCTCAACCCAACCCTGGGTTCACTGAAATCTTACCAAAAAGAAAAAATACCTGGATAATATATCTGCATTCTGAATAACTGATTTGCAGCCTCTATCATTCATACCATCTACCTAATTATCTAACCCAGAAACCTTAGAATCCACTTGGATCCAGCTCTCTCTATAGCCAACTGATCTACTAATTCAGACTAACATGTCCATAACCTCTCTCAAATCAGCCTGCTTTTCATTTCCGCGGTGACTACCCTACTGGGCAGAGTGCTTGCCAACACCACTGCACTATCCTCCTAACTAGGCTCAACCTCTCCAGTGTGCAGCAGCCAAAACACAATCTGCCCCTCTCACACCCTTGCTCTCAAAACACGCCCTTAGGTGTTTTGTTCCTAACACCTTTCAGGACCCTCAGGGTAACTTTCAATTTCCTTGACACAGAAGGAATGCCCTCAGAATAATCTCCCCTCTTTATTACTCTCGGGATAATCTTCAAATTCCTTAACCAAAAGAACCTTCATAATTCAGACCCTACTCATCTTTCATATTCCCCTCTCTCAGTTCACAATCACCATCTAAGCTATGCTGAGTTACTACAAATACAAGGATTTGTATTAAGTCCTTAGATTCACTACAAATACCAAGATTTCTGATCCCTGCATGAATGCCTTCCTAAGTTCCTCTCTCTTCCCCACCCACTTCACATAGCTAACTTCCACATTTCCTTCAGATATTAGCTAAAATGTTACCTGCTCTAAGACAGAAGGGTATAAGCCACAGAGAATCACTGTTTATTTCTCTAATTTTCTGGAGACTCACTGAAGAGCCAATGTCTTCATAATTCTAACCCTTCTCAGCAGTGCGTGGTGCATAGTATGTACTCAAAAAATGTGTTAATTCAAAGACAATGACAGATACATGCTAAGTTTTTAAAAAACAAACACAATGATTCCAATATTGCTGTGAAATACCAGATTTTAAAGTATTATACCTTTAGGAATTATATACTGTTAAGGCTCAAGTTTGGCGTTTTTTTGTTTGTTTGTTTTGTTTTGTTTAAGTAATCCTAGCACTCTGGGAGGCTGAGACGGGTAGACTGCCTGAGCTCACAGGTTCGAGATGAGCCTGAGGAAGTGTGAGACTCCATCTCTAAAAAATAGCCAGGCGTTGTGGTAGGTGCCTGTAGTCCCAGCTACTTGGGAGGCTAAAGCAAGAGAACTGCTTGAGCCCAAGAGTTTGAGGTTGTTGTGAACTATAACACCACGGCATTCTACCAAAGGCAACAAAGTGAGACTATCTCAAAAAAGGGGGGGTGGGTGGGAAGAGGGAGCAAAAGAAGGCCAGGTGCAGTGGCTCACACCTGGAATCCTAGAGTTCTGGGAGGCTGGGATGGGTAGATCACTTGAGCTCACAAATTGAGACTGGCCTGAGCAAGAGCCAGACCACATTTCTAAAAATAGCCAGGCATTATGGTAGGTGCCTGCAGTCCCAGCTATTTGGGAGGCTGAGGTAAGAGGATCGTTTGAGCCTAGAAGTTTGAGGGTGCTATGTGCTATGATGTCATGGAACTCTACTCAAAAGAAACAGACTCTGACTCAAAAAAAAAAAAAATGGGAGGGGGCGGGGCGGGGCACCTGCGGCTCAAGGAGTGGGGTGCCGGCCCCACATACCCAGGGTGGTGGGTTCTAGCCTAGCCCCAGCCAAAAACTGCAAAAAAAAAAAAAAAGGTAGGGGAGTAAAAGTATCTGAATCTGAAGCATTTAAGAACTGTTTGGAAAACCATAATACCATCCAAAATAAAAACTAAAGAACAGATTTCCTTAATATAAAAGAACATTTAATCAAAATGCCACACTCACCTCTGTCAGCAAAATTGCCAACATATCTTGCCTCTGGAAACGTATAGCCAAGTGTACAAGAGTATACCCTACATCAAAGGCAGAAGGGCGGTTCAGCAGGCGCACTTCATCTGCAGTGAGCTGACGCGCAATATCTCCTCCTGATGACTTGTATGCTTCTATGGCAGCTAAATCACCTTCTACAACCCCTAAAACAAGTATTAAGATAGAAAAGCATTTAATTCTTTTTTATTTTTTTCAAAGAGCACAGAACTGTAGCATCACTCCAAACTCTTTAAGTGTTTCTCTGTGTTTCCTGGATCCTGAGGCATCATTTAAATGTCCTAAAGAATATAAGGAAAATTAGTTTATTTCACTCTCTTTTAAATTTTCTTCCAGAATTAGAACACCCAGTTAGGCACTTACCTTTCCATCAGTGTTGACTCCATGCTGTGGTGGAGTTTAAGAAACTACTAAAACTATATTATAATTGGCTCTAAGATCAGTAACTTAATAAGAGAAACTAGACTTCACAAAAGACATGGAGCCCCTGTTCTGGTCCTGTGTTCATTCTGACTCTGCAGAAACCGAGGAGACAGGGATGTACTTCCAGTTGGTGTTAGGCTTCTTGTGCCCTTTACACTGCATTCTTAAAACAGAATCGAAACAAATGCTGAGCTTTCCATACTCCCACACAGCTTTAAAACAAATTAGAGCGACTGAAACCATTTTCATGATAAGTTGACAATATTTTGATTTCAGATTTTTCTCATCACCAAGCCTTTCTTACACCAATTAAAAATTAATAAAGTAAAAATCGAACCATAAGGTTTCAAACTTAAAAAAAGCAAAGAAAAAAGATTTCAAGTGAAATATGCTAAAAAATAAAACAGTGCGAATCAGTTGGTTAGAGAGATAAAGCAAATGTTACTTTTCTAAATCAACGAAGAACTCTCCATTGCTACTTTATTAATCTTAATACAAATTAAAGTTAAACTTAGTTAACTTACTAAACAAACAATATGGTACTGTATAGATGATAAACAGCCTTGACAAAAAAATAGATTAGCTTTCAATTTACCCCAAATAGTGTTTAAAAAGAAAGACAGCAAGATGAAATAATTTTAAGTGTTTCCTAAGTTATATCTGGAAAATTTGTTGGGTGAAATACTAATACTAAAAAATATTCTTAGTATGCTTCCTAAAAAGAACTGCCATCTTGAATCAGGAATTACATAAATAATACATATCCTTAGAGTGTTACAGTTTGGTATAATGCAACAATTAATTTCCCACCGCTATTAAAGATAACAAGACTTAAAAATGACAATTCCCACATCTACTGGATGCTCATGACATACAAAACACCATGCTAGGCAATTATGAAAAATATAGGACAATAAAAAAATAACTCCTGACCAAGCATGGTGGCTCACATTTGTATTCCTAGCACTCCAGGAGGCTGAGAAAGGTGGATTATATGAGATCAGGAGTTCCAAACCAACCTCAGCAAAAGTGAGACCCCATCTCTAAAAACAGCCAGGTGATATAGCAGGCACCTGTAGTCCCAGCTACTTGGAAGGCTGAGGCAAGAAGATTGCCTGAGCCCAAGAGTTTGAGTTTGCTGTAAGCTATGATGATGCCGTGGTACTCATACCTGAATGACAGAGTAAGACACTGTCTCAAAAAAAAAAAAATTTAAGCTAGCTGGGCATTGTGGCCAGCACCTATAGTCCCAGCTACTTAGAAGGCTGAGGCAAGAGGATCTCTTGAGCCCAAGAGTTTGAGGCTATAGCACTATAGCACTTTATCCAGAGCAAGAGAGTAAGACTCTGTCTAAAAATAAAATAAATAACTTTTATATTTAAAATGACACTTTTAAATTTTTTTTTTAATTTTTTTGGCTGGGGCTGGATTTGAACCTGCCACCTCCAGCATATGGGGCCAGAGCCCTACCCTTTTGAGCCACAGGCGCCACCCACAAAATGACACTTTTAAATCCCATTTGTAATCCATAAAAGGCCAGCTTCAAAAGTTTTAAACTCTGATGACAGATCCTTTCTGCAAATCTAAATCATCTTCCCAGAAAAATGACCCCCTGCCTCCAATATACTTTTTTTTTTTTTTTGAGATAGAGTTTCACTTACTTGTCCCCAGTAGAGTGCCCTGGTGTCATAGCTCCCCACACCCTCAAACTTTTGGGCTCAAGCAATCCTTTTGCATTAGCTTCCCAAGTAGCTGAGAGTACAGGCAACCACCACAACAACCAGCTGTTTTTATTTTATTTCATGTTATTTTTAGAGATGAGTTCTCACTCTTGCTCAGGCTGGTCTCAAACTCATGAGCACAAACAATCCCAACCACCTCGGCCTCCCCGAGTGCTGGGATTACAGGCGTGAGGCACCACGCCCAGCTGCATATACATTTTTTCAGGTTAAGAACCTATATTAAATAAGAATGCCCTGCCTTCTTACAGGAAGTTTTATTTTCACAGCAATGTAGGTTAATACATTCCTCACTATGAATATATACAAGTTCAGCTATAAACCCCCCACCCCATTATAGAGAGCTTCAAAACATCCTTATGAGGAACAGTGCCCTGGCATGAGACAAAGAGGATAAATCTTCTCAAGAGGGCAAGCCTTGAGAATAAACCAGAAAGTGCTACTTGAATTAAAAACAAATCTATGGTTGAAGAGTTTTCTAATTCTAGTATGTCCAAGTACACAAAGAACTCAAAACTTATCTGTTTTTTATGGAGACAGAGTCTTGCTCTGTAGCCCGGAGTAGAGGGCAGTGGCATCATAGTTCACTGCAATCTCAGTCTGGTCTCAAGTCATTACTCCGGCCTCAGCCTCCACAGTAGGTGAGATACATCTACAAGGCATGTGCCACCACACTAATTTTCTAATTTCAGTAGAGCTGGGTCTCCCTCTTGCTCAGGCAGGTCTTGAACTCCTAACTCTCAAGCAATCCTCCTGCCTTGGTCTCCCACAATGCCAGAATTAATTGCAGGTGTGAGCTACCAGCCCATTTAATCTGTTTAATGAATAATTAAGTATAATCTGATAGAGCCCATAACTTTTTGAATAATAATGAAGTTTATTTTAATTTAGAACTAAGCGGCTCGGCGCCTGTGGCTCAAGCGGCTAAGGC